GACGCGGGAAGGAAAAAGCGTCCGCAGTGGTCTGGGAGGGGAGGCTCCAGGTGCCTTTCCTGACAGGAACTCAGGAACCCCGGGGCTGCCCCGGGGCGGGTGGCTCCGTGCCAAGGGTGCCGTCTCCTGACGGGGGACCAGGGCGGCTCCTCCCGACCTCTGCGCAGCGAGCCCGACGTGTTTCCCTCCTCACGTCACGTCTGTGACGGGGGAGAGAACACACCAACATTCCCTGCCGCTCCAGCCCGCATCCTGCTTCCCTGCCTGACACGCCCGTCGTGCCTGAGCCGAGTGTCCCCCCGGGGTGGTGCGGCTGGCAACGTCCCAGCCCTCAAGTTCGGCGCCAGGTGGCGAGGGGACCCCCAGGGGCGTTCCAGGTGCCCCCGTGGCCACTTCCAGGAAGATTCAAGACAAATACAGAATTTTGGGGAAAACGCATGCCATACACTACCCGAGATGCAGTTCATTGCGTGGCAGTTGATACATTCAAGGTGTCACAGATCTAGAATGTGCAAAATACTTTTAATCATAAATCTCCTTTCCTCTTTGTCCATAAGCACGGAGTAGAAACACTGGCTTTACACACACAGAGCGGAAGACGGGCTGTGGACCCCTCCGTGTTTATGGAGGGTGGACGCGGTTCCTCCCCCCACCCAGCTCTGCGACTGTGCCTGACCTGCCCCCTCTCATAAACTACCACCTGCCTGCAGGTGCCCTGGGCTCACAGGATCTTCCCTGGCGTGAGGACAAAGTATCAAGACACTTGTTAACACTGTACCTTAAGGCAGTGAGTACGAACTCACAGAACAGTTCAAAATAAAGTGAGGTTTGCTTTCGTGAAAACAAAACATGACTGCTCCCAGGCATGCGCGCACACAATGAAAACCAGCAGCCCACGCCACGCTCCACGTCATCAGCATCGAGTGCGTGCCTAGCCAGCGATGCCATCACACCGTCTTGTCACAGGGAGGCTGAGATCCAGTCCAGGGGTCCCGCATGTAGACAGTCCACACGACACACAGAGGTGAGAAGTCACACTGAGAACGCAGGGCGTCCGCAACTTCCCTGGTGGTTTTGTGCGTTCAAACACGATCACCCACTTGTTTCCTTTCTGTGAAACTGACTTGTGATGCAGGGAACTCTTTTGAGGCCGCGATTCCATCAAGTGTCTAGAGCTGGTAGTTCTCAGAGGTGCACACTTAGGCATGTTGTCAGACGTGATGCACGAAATCATCCACCTAATCAAACATGTTTAGAGACAGCTGGTCTCTGACCACCTGCCACTCTCAACTACAGACGTGACGGGGACAAGGCGCACGGGCATGAGCCGTGTCATAAGTAGGCGTCGCAGTGCCATGGCTCGTCTCTCTGACCTGTCTGTGGGTTAAAGCCAACTCTGTAAACAGTCAGGACAAGGTCCTGACTTCCCGTCCTGCCTGGCTGCTCCGCGGGGGCAAGCCCGTCCTCACACAGCACGGGGCGGGATGACCCCCCAGGGCCAACGGCGGGGGGTGGGGGGGTGGCGGATCCTGCATATCTTACCCGGGTGTTTAAACACACACCTCTCATGCAAAATGGAAAACAGTGGCACCAAGGTCAAAATCAAGTAAAGTAACAGGCCTGGAGCCAGAACGCAGCCATGGAACCGAGGGCGAAGGAAGGAGGGAGGGAGGGAGAGAGTTTTTGGTCCGGGCAGGGAGTGTGCTAAGATGACTGTTTAAATTGGTTCTTGTTCTAATCCACTTTGTTGTACATGTGTTTTAGTAAAATTATTTATTGCACAAATAAACTCATGGCGATCAGAAAAATTTTTTTCCCACAGACAGGGACAGCACCGGCACTTCCTGAGCCCACGCAGTGGGGCAACTCGGGCGGCGCCTTTGGCGCAGGACAGCACTTCCCGTCACTCGCGCCGGGAACAGGCTGAGTCCACCGCTTGCCACCCTTCGTTCGCCCGCCGACCAGCAAACCGAGGCAACTCACTCCACAAGGCTTCTGGCTCCTCCGTGGTGTCCTGTGGGGGGGGCGGTCAACCTCGGTCCCGGCCACATGGGCAAGGGGTGTCCCCCACCAAAAAAAAGCGGCCACCGCCTCTCCTGGAGGCGAAGGACCCTGCGCCGAGAACCTGCGACACACACATGCGCAGGGCGGGCCGTGGCAGTTGGGCGTCCTTATTAGCCTCAAAGGTCTTGGTGGGATATTTCACTGAACACGCTGTAATTCACCGCCACAACACTCCACAGACACGACGCGGCACGGGCTGCCAACCAAACCCCAAGGTCGGCCGGAGTCCTGGAGAGACGTCGCGCGGGGCCTGCGCGCGGAGAGCCCGGTGCAGCACCACCGATAAAACACACAACACACAGGCCCGCCGGCGGCAGCTCCGCGGCTGCGTCGGAACCACCTGCGGCCGCAGCGCCCCACGCGGCGTGGACCAGAGAGGCCCGCAACGCACTCTGAGTCAGGGCCTGGCCGAAGCCGGCGCTCGGCAGGGGGAGCGAGTGGGGAGCGGGGACACTGACAGAGCAGCACCGCGGGCGACCCTGGCGCCGCCGGTACGCCCTTCCTCACTCCTCCTTCCTCCTCCTCTCTCTCCTCCTCTGCTGCGCGCGCTTCAGGTCGGCCATGGCGTCCAGCGTCCGGCGCACCCACAGCACCTGCGGACGGCGGTGTGGAGCCGGGTGAGAAGGGCAGCCAGCCCGGGACGGGGGCGGGGTGGGGGCAGGGTGGGGTTGGGCACGCACCACGATGACCATGGCGTTGAGCAGCAGCGGCGCCGAGAACACGAGGGAGATGAACATGCCCCTCGAGTCGAAATACTGGTATTTGGCAAATAACCTGTTTTGAGAAAAAACAGAAGATCGTTTGGCAACACAACAAAACGCGTTTCCAGTGAGCTCCCCGCTCGCCTGTCGGAAGGACGTGCTGCCGGGGAAGAGGGACCGCCCGGCCCCATGGCGCCTGTGCTCACAGCGCGCCACCATCACGTCCCGGGTGTGACCCTCGCACAAAGACACAGGACAGGGGGCATGGGACGAGAAACGGGGACAGGGACAGAGCCAGGGGGGCGCTGGGGGCGAGGTGAGGCGGGCATCCAGGCCGGGGCTGAGCTCCGTGGGCTGGCCCGATGGGGACGCGGGGGCTGGGCTGCGGGAGGGAGGCAAGCACTGAGCGCAGGGCCAGGGCCACGGCCACAGCCAAGGCACAGGCAGCCGGCCCCTGCTGGGATGTCGGCCGGAGGGCGCCCAGGGAGCAGGAGTCCATGCAGCCGTCCCAGGCACGGCCCCACGCTGGCCCCCGCGTGCGCCGAGCTCACCCTAAAATGCCGCCTTGTTCGTTCTGCAGCTAAAACTCCCTTAACCGGCCGCTGTTCCCCCTCAGTGCGCCGTTACCGCAACGCCCAGCCCTGCGCAGCGGCAGGCGCGGCCAAGAGCGCCCCATCCTCACCGCAGCAACGAGGCGCCGGAACCCAGGACATGAGGTCCCGCGGCTTCTTCGTCCCCCCAAGAGTCCTGCGCCCCTCGCCTCCCCTCCCCCGAGAGCCCCTCGTTCCCCTGAGAGTCCTGCACCCCTCGTCCCCCCCCAGCCCTGCGCCCCCCATGACACCCCCTCGCCTGGCGCGGGAAGCCGGTTACCTCCAGTTCATGGCGGCCACTTCGTTGATGTACTCCGCACAGTAGACCAGGAGCACTGGAAAGACAGA